GGTAGTCTTTCATTTCCCTGTACAAAGGTTTTGGCACAGACCGGTATGTTTTTGACACTGGTTCATTATCCTTCAATGAAATATTCATTTGCAAGTTGTGTATGCAGCCAATATCGTCATCAGTTTTGGAGAAAGACTCAGATTCTTCTCTTAACATCTGACTTACTATTTGTCTCTGGCCCCCATCCAGGTGGGTTAAATCAACGGGAGGGTCCCACCATCCATCTGTGGGTGCACCTTCACTGGTGCTCTGGGCCTGGATGTGATTGATAGATTTACTTACTGGTGGTTGGGTTGTGCTGAATAAGTCAGCTGGGTATACAGACTTTACAGACTGTACAGCTCCAACTACTGTCCGGCCGGGAAGTGTAATGTCATGGTTTGTGGGGTTTTGAACACTTAAAACAACCTTTGGGGCTGTTTCTGCCTTAACTGATACAAGGGTATTGCAGATTTCCAATCCTTCAGGCCACCGTGGGTTCACAAGAGGCTCAAAAAGCAGAGTTTTAGCCTCCTTGAACTTTGAGGCCTGGATACGACAAACAATTTGGATGGTGGTGTGTTTCGGCACATTGACTCTTTCATTTACTGTTCTCACACTGTGTTCACATGTTTGACCAAGGCTGACAGCAGAAATAAAGGCTTTTACCTTACTATGTTTTAGATGAGGGAATGCGATTTTTACTGCATTTACAAGTTTGTCCATGTTGCCATCTATTGATTGGCCTTTCTGGTTGTTCTGCACAAGATGTTCAATTACATTGAACCCAATGATTGGGCATTGCTGTTTGTTGCCTTTCAACACAAGTACAGGTATTAGCAGCTCATCATCCATTGTAGTCAGCTTGAAAGGGACTTCAAGCCAGCCAGAGTATGGCATGTCAGTGCCATTAGCAGCTTCAATATGTAATGGGTCTAAGGGGTCCTGTAGCTCAACAACATCTCTTATCTGCATGTCAGGTAGGTAATTCTCTTTCCAGACCTCATCTATAGCACATATTTGTGAACCTGTGTCCCAGAGTGCTTGAGTAATCAGTCCATTCAGGAAGCACTTGATAATACATTTTTTTCCTACTAACTCTCTTACAGTTTGGTCTTTAGCAGCAGCTCTGATAGTTTTGGGTTCAGAATGCTCACATGGCTGCCTGACTTGTTTAGCACTGGAACATGTGTGTGATTTGCAGTCAATTTTGTGAACAGGCCAATGCATTTCCTGACATGTTTTTGAGCAATAAAGTGCAGTTTTACAAGTTGAGCATCGTTTTAATTCCTTCTTCACTTTCTTTTTTTTTTTTACAATTTACACAAACGTGGGACTTATGGTTAGCTTTGGTTGCCCCGCGCCCCACTGAGGCAACCCAACTTAGTTTAAAGATCCCCTATATGTTGAATGAGCGGCTTTGTCTGCTCTACAACCTGCCCTGAAGTGCTCAGTACTTCCACATCTGAAACAATGCTGACAATATTCCTCATTGGCCTGGGTACAAGCGAAGCATCTAGGTTGCTGGCATTGCCTTTGGTAATATCGTTGTGGGGCAAACCTTTGTTGAAATTGTGCAGTACCTCTCATCCATCCTGGATCATACAGAGGCCTGTACTCCCGCAGCAATTCTGGGTGCTGTTGAGGGTAAACTGGCATCATTGGGGACATGGACCTGAAGGACTGTTCTGTGGGTGAGAACACTGGACTTGCGGTAGACACTTGCTCTGAACTTGGTGGAGGTTCCCTTGACTGTGCGTTAGCGTTTTTTTGAATTGTTTCCCTGATTTGGGACACTTCAGCTCTGAGGTCCTTTAATAACACCATGTCAGAGCGCATTTCTTTGATCTCAGATAACACATCTGGGGACATTTGAGATCGGCTTTGCTGGGTTGAAGTTTTTGTTTCTCTGGGTAGCTCACCAGTCTGGACAGTACTTACACTGGTTGCCCTTTGTGGCGCAGCATGCCTCTTTTTGTCCTGCCTCTCCTTTTCATTTGTACAAGCAATATTCACTTTCTCCAGCAGCAGTTCATCAGGTGTGTCAGGCTTTGTGAGGTAAGGCTGAAGATCACTCTTGATGTTGTCATTCTGTAAACCGGTCAAGATGGTATGCATAAATAGATTTTGGACAAGAGCAGGATCATATTTTAAAGCTGACTCTGCTTCCTGAGAGGCAAACAGAATTTTCTGCCTCAGGTCCATCGCCCTGATTAAGAAATTCTGAGGAGACTCTTTGTTGCACTGAACCTCAGAAGTTAGCTGCTTGTACAAATCTGTGGCGCCCCTCTCCTGGTAATGGGACCTTAAGATTCTGCGCAGAGCAGGTAAGGTAAGGGTCTCTTTTCCCTCCAAATAGCTCCGTAATTGCAGGCCAGGTGTTATAGCACGGATAACAGCATCAATGATATCTGTCTCTGAATAGCCTTTGGTAAGCCCACTTTCAATTTGTCTTGCCAGGCTAGAGAATGTCAGCCGATCCTTCTGACCTGGCTCTCCTATCTGTCCAAGAATCTTGAAATCTTTGCGCCACATTGGGTTTTCTGAAAATGTTGGAGTCACATTTATCTGTGAAACCCGTGGGCATGACAGATATTTTCTGTCCATTACACCCTGGGCCTCTTTTTCTTTCTGTTGTAGTGACAATCTGAGCGCCTCTATTTCTTTTTGAAGCCTTTCCTGGTCATCAGATTGAGTTTCTACTCTAGGTGACTCTTCAACAGACTTTACTTTATTTATTGTGTCCCAGATGCTGAGATATTCTGACATGCCTTCATCTTCAAGGCTAGCCAGTTCCTCCCGTTCAAGGTATTTGACGACATTTGAAATTAGACGACTGCGTGTTTTACTAGTCAAAGGTTCTCTTCCAGGTGCTGAGAGCTGCAGTGTGATGCATACTTCAATCAGCTGTTCCACTGTTAAGTTATACAATGCTCCTTTTATTTCCAACTGAAGATTTTCCAATTCTGACTCCATTTTATCCTGGGATTTCAGAAGCAACAGAATGGGGCCCAACAGCCTTCAATTGATTTGTGTTGATCTCTAGTGGTCAGTGCACACTTCAGGATACAACCTGCCAACTGCTGGCTGAAGGCCTCCACGCTGATTTCTGGTGGTTTGGGTTGTTTTGGGATGATCAGCAGGAGGGTTCCACAGGAGTTTGGGAATGATCCTCTAGCCAAATGATCCCAGCGGTGCCTCCAAATGTTAGCTCTTATAAAAGGACAAAATGTAAGAAAAGAAACAGCAGGGATGAAACCAGTGCGCTTTCACTTACTCTTGTATTGAATATGCAGAAGAGCAGAACACATAAATCTCCTTTCTTACAATACGCATCCTTAATGATGAAAAACAAGAATACACTGTTTGTACTATATAAAAGTCACAAGCAATAATAAAATTTAAACAAGTCCAACTGCCGTTAGCAACAGAGCTAAGTTAATTAGCCAAACAGTATTCACACATCAATTTAAAACACTATGAACTAAATACATACAAATTACACTGCTTGTAGTCTATAAGAATCACAAGTAATAATTACAATTCAAACAAATCAAACTGCCAATCGAAAGACGAGGCCTACTGCCATTAGCAACAGAGCTAGGTTAATTAGCCAAACAGTATTCACACATAAGTTTAAAACACTGAACTAAATACAAACAAATTCATGCATACAGGGCTAATATTCATCCATGTGTTATTCTCCTGAGAGTTACATATAATTTCTTACCTTATAAAAGGACAAAATGTAAGAAAAGAAACAGCAGGGATGAAACCAGTGCGCTTTCACTTACTCTTGTATTGAATATGCAGAAGAGCGCACTAGTCCCCCTAGTGGACTCTTTTGATAATGGCGCCAACACACCCCTCTTCCAGACAAACGACCCAAATCAACTCTTCCACACCCCAAACCAAACTAAATTAATGCAGATGATCAAAACAATTAGAATCGATATCAACAGGATCAAGTGAGTATTATACCCTGCAACACATACATTCCATTACCTGACATGAATGGAGAGAAGGAAATAAAGCAAAGACGTACAAGACATCTTTGGAGAGTTTGCAAGAGCAAAATCTGATCTGTAACTTCTATTTAGAAAGCTTTATCCTCTTGTATCTAATCCATTCAAAAAGGGCTGGCCCTCGGTCCTCCAACCAGAGCCATCTCTGACACTGAGCTTCACCTAATTTACTGCAAACATCTGGGGTCATTTGCTTCTTTGTTTTAACAAGAAAAGGCGGAAAGCTTGTCCTGTCATCTAGAACTCTCAGGGTCATAAAACACAAGATAAGCTCTCACAGACAGCTTGTGGAATGCGGGGGGCCTCACTTTTGACCTTCTGTAAACCAAGCAGAAATCTCTCCTGCAGGCTTAACTGTTATTCACCCCCCAGGAGATACTCATTTCATGGCCTGTGCTCTAAATACTTACCCATTAGTAGTTTTAAATCATTAACACAGCCTTGTTCAAAATTAAGAAATATGTTCAAGTGAGAGTGTTTACACATGCCATAAGATTAACTGTATTAAAGTCTAAAAAATAATCATTTTTCTTTAACACATTGTATTGCTTGACGTCATCATCAGACATGCTAAGAGCAGTCTGGGAATATATTATTTCGTAACGTTTATCTGATGCACTCTATGATAATAGAGTGAATGCACTCTATTATTTTTTTATTTGAGAAAAAAAATGTATTTTATTCCTTAATAACATTAATTTTGTTTACACACACATATATATCTATATAGATATATATATAATCCATATTGTAATGTTTTACATTACATAAAGTTGTATAATAAACTTGAACACAAATACTCTTGTATAAAATAGATTTTTTAAGAACGTTAAAGTTATCAGTTGATATTTTGGCGCCCTCTGGTGTACACATCAAAAACAGGAGAAGACCTCGTCATTAATGCCCACATTGTTTATTTTTTACAAAAACCAAACAGGGAATAGAACAAAGAACACATAACAAAGCCAAAGCATAAATTATTAAAAAATGGTAGTTAGAAAAGTTGGGCAGAGAATAAAATAATTCAGAGAGAGAAAGAAAACCTTTAAAACTTATTAAGAACTGACTATACAAACATTCTAAGAACTATGCTCGCAAAACATGGTATTGACCTTTAGTCCCATTACATCAACACAGTTGATGTAAAACATTTCCATGTCTTCCTGATACTGGAAGGAAATTAAGAAGGGATCCTTTGCAGAACTGTATCCTTCAAGGGCCATTTTCTGCCTGGGCTTGCTCATCTGTAAGACTTCAGGTTCTCCTATTTCCCCACGGAATAAGGCTTTGTGCTGTTGAATCCAGTCCCATGCTTTATGCAAGTCCCTCAGGGTCTGTGTCTGTCCCTAAAGTATGAAAAACGTACATAAAAAAAACGTAAAATACCATATAGTATATATATACACACGTGACTCAATTCTGTAGTTTCAAAAGAGGTGATCAGGAAAAGAGCAGAACCAGGAGCTTGATGCTTTTCACCCTCGCTACACTAGCACTAAACATTAAACACACACCTTCGCATTGCCCTCTCCACCATCACCATTTCTGGGGGAAGTCTCTGCACTGGTGGACTTTGGAACCCTAAAGACCGGTTCCAGGATTCCTTCAAGAAGATGGGAGGATTCTTCTGTCCAGTGAGCAAATCGTTGTCCATGCCTTTGAATGGAACAACAGGATCATTAGCACATAGTAAACTAAAATACAGAAGACATTGAAGTTTCCTGTGTGAAGGTACCCTTCAATGCAAAACCTCTCCATTATCTGGAGGCACCACCAACGGCGAATGGTTGGCATCTCCCACTTGAAAAAACAGGCAAAAGCAAGTATAATAAAAATTACAAGTGGCTAGAAGAATTTCCATGTAATCAACCCCCCAAAAACTAAAATAAACATACCTGGGAAAAGGTAAATGGGGTTGATGTGCTGATGCAGAGGGCATACTGTAAAACATCAAATAACTGTAACACACACTAGGCCAAACTAGGCCAAACGTGTACAGCTTAGAGATGATTGCTGAACAAACTTCTACAGCGGTCTTTGTTCGTAGAGGTTCAGCAACCACCCACTTTGTGTACAGATCGGTCATAGTGAGGACATAGTTGTGTCCCAGAGAGGTCTCTGGCAATGGCCAAATCAGGTCCAATCCAAGAACCTCCCAGGGTTCTTTTACCTACCACACAATAAAAGAACAAATAATAGAAAGATATAATGGAAAGGGGTTATATTTACTTATAAAAACAGTGCTTGTGTTTCAATCTATAAATTAAAAAAATTAGAACCTTGATTGAATGTAGAACCGGTGCTACAGTTTTCAACGCTTGACCTGAAAGGAAAATTTGTTTGTGTAGTTGATTCAGGCTGATAAACAACAAAATCAGCTAAAGACAACCTATAGCTTCTACTAATTGTGTATTACATTCTTTATGCTAAAAGTCTTCAAAATTAAAGGTGATGGAAGGTATGAGTCATAATTAATTTGTTTTACATTACCCATTCATCAACATCCTTTGTGATGGTGAGCCAATAATACCCAGCAATAACCCTGTCTCGAGTGGCCCTCCTGCCATTGTGGTTGCCAGTACCAGGATTATTGTGGCACTCCATCAAGACAGATGTTCTTTCTTTCTCAGAAAGTACCACAAGCCGCATGAACTGCCGTCTGGGACCAACGTAGAAGAGTCTGCTGTCTGTTAGAAGAATGGTTGGATGGAATGATATGAAAACAGTATAAATAAAACATATTTTATGTTTTTTTTTTTATGCAAAGACATAAAATTTAAAGCATACAGATATTTTTGTGCATCCCAGAGAAATGCAGTAACCCAAACAGCATACAAGATAAAATATATAAATAAATAATTTAAAATTGTAAAAAATATGATCGCATTTAACATTTTAAATATATATTTTTACTTTGACCGTAACATGCTTGCTAGAATAAAAAGTGAAGGAAATAAGAACATAATCTTGTGAAATATATTCTATATTGGATTTAAAATTGAAAAGACTGCTTTCCCAGGGACAAAAAAATGTATCATTCTTATTTAAACATTAAATGGACTTATAAACTAAATAATTATTAAATGAATATTTTTTCTGGCTGGTTTTACTTTTTAATTTTCTTACCTTTAACTTGAAAATGTGGAGACATCCTTTTTATTTTTTTTTCTGGAATAAAAATCAAAATTTTCGGGAAATGTTCCCTTATCAATGAAAAACTGCAGGTATCGAAAGGTAGCAAATAAATCCATTGTGGGATCAGTACTGCTGGAGTGCATCGTTAAGTACAGAGTAAATCAAATATTTAAACAAATTTAAATTTAAACGCTGTGTGACGTATATTTGCGCATGCTCAGAGCAGTCAAAGTAACTATCACAAGACGATTAAACTTTTTTTATGTATTTCTGTTTTTTTATTTTTAGAAAATGCAATATTGACGAAAATACAAAGATATACAAAAAGAAACCCATGCCTCTAAAAAATACAAAAGAATAAAAACGTAAGAAAAAGGAAATATTGCCACCGGAAGTTATTCTGTTCGCGCAGGCGCAAATGAGCTGATGGTACGGATCGTGCTACCGGTACGGATCGGGTAGCGACAAGGGGTCTGGATCATAGATATCCATAATAAAGGCTAGATGTCTCGTCCGCGCTGCTGGCCAATGGGGGTCGACGTCCGCACGTGGCGGCCATCTTATCACAGGCAGCTCGCTCATTCGTAGCATTGTTTTTCAATGGCGCATGTACTGAAATAACCATAACTTCCTCAATTATCTAACTATTCTCAAACTGTTTGGTTTGTTAAACAAAAGTCAGACATGTAGTTGTGATACTGCGCACTTAGGAATAATTATAACCATGGAATTTCATATGAAAAGAACACTGAATAGAACATACAGGTGCAATAAATATACACATGCACAAGGTATTTATGTTAAATCAATATATGCTATTAAAACTCAGTGTACAGAATGGCAACCATATATATATGGTCCCAGAAATATATATTTATATATATATATAAATTGTATATATAATATATATATATAAATTGTATATATAATATATATATATATATATTGTATATATAATATATATATATATATAATATATATATATTTTATATATAATGTATATATATAATATATATTTAATATATATATATATTGTATATATAATATATATATACAATATATATATGTATATAATATATATAATATATATATTGTATATAAAATATATATATATATAATATATATATATATTATAATACATATATATATATATATATATATATATATATATATATATATATATATATATATATATATATATATATATATATATATATATAAACACTTTTATTTGAGTGTGATTAATTATTTCACAGTCCTAATTTATTTATATTTACATAAATACTTTTATAATATAAATATTACTGTTATAATAAATTTGAAATACTGACAAAAAAGGCTTATTGTGTGGCAACCTCTTGGTGTAGAATCATAATCCAGGTTTCAAATTAAAGGTTACACTGTGAAGTTTCATGTAGACTATTCGGATTATATATCAGTAATTACACAAAAGTTCCTATTTTTAAACCATTATAAAAGTGAAATTTATTTGCTATTAAATTTGGTACAATAGTCCCCTTCACAAGTATATATAGATGTAGCATGTTGAAATCCCCACCTACACTACTGTGATGGTATACAGGTGCTGGTCATAAAATTAGAATATCATGAAAAAGTAGATTGATTTCAGTAATTCCATTTAAAAAGTGAAACTTGTATATTATATTCATACATTACATACAAACTCATATATTTCAGATGTTTATTTTGTTTAATTTTGATGATTACAAATGACAACAAATGAAAATCTCAAATTCATCATATCAGAAAATTAGAAAATTGTGAAAAGGTTCAAAATTGATGGCCCCTGGTGCCACACTCTAATCAGCTAATTAACTCAAACCACCTGCAAAAGCCTTTAAATGGTCTTTCAGTCTAGTTCTATAGGCTACACAATCATGGGGAAGACTGCTGACTTGACAGTTGTCCAAAAGACGACCATCGACACCTTGCACAAGGAGGGCAAGACACAAAAGGTCATCGCTAAAGAGGCTGGCTGTTCACAGAGCTCAGTGTCCAAGCACATTAATAGAGAGGCGAAGGGAAGGAAAAGATGTGGTCGAAAAAAGTGTACAAGCAAGAGAGATAACCGCACCCTGGAGAGGATTGTGAAACAAAACCCATTCAAAAATGTGGGGGAGATTCACAAAGAGTGGACTGCAGCTGGAGTGAGTGCTTCAAGAACCACCACACACAGACGTATGAAAGACATGGGTTTCTGCTGTCGCATTCCTTGTGTCAAGCCACTCTTGAACCACAGACAGCGTCAGAAGCGTCTTGCCTGGGCTAAAGAGAAACAGGACTGGACTGCTGGTGAGTGGTCCAAAGTCATGTTCTCTGATGAAAGTAAATTTTGCATTTCCTTTGGAAATCAAGGTCCCAGAGTCTGGAGGAAAAGAAGAGAGGCACTTCATCCACGTTGCTTGAAGTCCAGTGTAAAGTTTCCACAGTCAGTGATGGTTTGGGGTGCCATGTCATCTGCTGGTGTTGGTCCATTGTGTTTTCTGAGGTCCAGGGTCAACGCAGCCACATACCAGGAAGTTTTAGAGCACTTCATGCTTCCTGCAGCTGACCAACTTTTTGGAGATGCAGATTTCATTTTCCAACAGGACTTGGCACCTGCACACAGTGCCAAAGCTACCAGTACCTGGTTGAAGGACCATGGTATCCCTGTTCTTAATTGGCCAGCAAACTCTCCTGACCTTAACCCCATAGAAAATCTATGGGGTATTGTGAAGAAGAAGATGCAATACACCAGACCCAACAGTTCAGAAGAGCTAAAAGCCACTATTAGAGCAACCTGGGCTATCATAACACCTGAGCAGTGCCACAGACTGATCGACTCCATGCCACGCCGCATTGCTGCAGTAATACAGGCCAAAGGAGGCCCAACTAAATACTGAGTGCTGTACATGCTCATACTTTTCATGTTCATACTTTTCAGTTGGCCAACATTTCTATAAATCCTTTGTTTTTATTGGTCTTCAGTAATATTCTAATTTTCTGATATGATGAATTTGAGATTTTCATTTGTTGTCATTTGTAATCATCAAAATTAAACAAAATAAACATCTGAAATATATGAGTTTGTATGTAATGTATGAATATAATATACAAGTTTCACTTTTTAAATGGAATTACTGAAATCAATCTACTTTTTCATGATATTCTAATTTTATGACCAGCACCTGTACACATGGAAGACAGAGATGAAAAAATGACCCAAAAAACATAGCTTGGTTAATGCCCTTTGAAAAGGACGGTTTTATTGTGTTTCTGTCGCATGTTGTTGCTCTGTAAGCCAAGGTTGGTTATTTTGGCAATGTGGTGCAGCCTCTTCCGTACAATGTACACGACCTCTAGCACTTTGATGGGCTGTGATCGTCTGGTACATGAGGTCTGACGAAGAACCCACTCTGCTGCCCTGACTACCATCACTGTGCCTTCTGATGGAATCACCAGACCTCCATTGTTTTTTAACTTCAGCAGGTGGTAGCTCTGGTCCTTGATGGCAGATGCAGCATCTGTTACCAAGCTGGCACGGCAGACATCACAGGACAGCTTTTTCAGAGCCCGTCGCACAACAAATCCTGAAATAAGAGTTGTATTATTAAAATAATTTATAATAACCATGGGGAAATTAAGGGAACATTTATCTTTTTGGGCCATTGGGATATTGATTTCCCTCAGGTTTTGACTATTGGCAATCTTGTAATACTATTAAGTCATAGCCCCGCTGTTCCTGTGTACCAGAGCCTGTATTGTACATACATCCACTAATTAACTAACGATTATCCCAAAAACCAATCATAATTTCATATCTTACATGTGAAAGGTGATCCCACTGGCACTCGTTTTGACACTACGGCGATTGGAGCATCCGTAGGCTGCACAAAAGTCTGGCATCTTCCTATTAAAAGACCCAGCAAATTCCTGTAACATAATGTAAGATGTTTTGACAAACCAAATCGATTGGAAATCATGCATTAATCATGTATAAATTCTGCCTCTTCCACTGATGCAAAGTTGCTGGTTAACGTTAGCAGCTAGCTAAACTGTAACGTTAGCTGCTAACTTACTAACTTTAGGTCTCACTTCGTAGCTTCTTGTTATTAGCCAGCTAACGTTAGGCTAATAATGAAAATACAACAACACTCAGATTATTGTTATTAGCCAACTAATAGCTACAACCACATCCACAAAGATTGTAATTTACACTAAAGATTAATTGTCATACAATCGTTATTGATAACTTGCGCAAGTAACCGTGATGCACAACTATGCTGCACGATCAAGTCATTTTTCGACAAGAAAATCTGCAATTTCGACATGTTCAAGCATCAAGAATTATAGCCACGTTCATAACGTTTGTAAGAAACCAAACTGTTTGTAAATCCGGCAAGAATTCAATGAGATAAGAGTATTTGTGTTCGTGCTGATCACTCACCTTACATTAAGTACCACAGAGCACAACAGAAAGCCTGCCTGTGGTAAGATGGCCGCCCGGTGATGACGTTTGAGACTCCGCCGTAAGACATCTAGCCTTTATCTGGATAGGGGTACTTTTTTCTGGAACTACATATCCCACAAGGCAAAGCGAAAACACTGACGTCACCACCTCCGGCACCGGTCCGCTGTTTGCAGTCTGGCCGACAGCTGAAGATATCCACACGGGTGGACCCCTCCTCCCTTTGACGGCTTTTTTTTATTTTCTTCTCCGCAGAAAATTTGACTTTTAAAAGATGGCGAAAACATATGACTACCTCTTCAAACTGCTGCTCATAGGAGACAGCGGCGTCGGAAAGACATGTCTGCTGTTCAGGTTCAGCGAGGACTCCTTCAACACCACCTTCATATCCACAATAGGTGAGTATATATGTACCCCATGGAAAATAAAATATCGCATTTTAAACTCTACAGCCATTTACCGAACCTTTGACAAGACTGCCTTAGCAGAAATGCCTGGAAGAAAGCTGCTGTGATTCATATCACAGAGACTTGCTGTATGTTAATGAGATTTACATGGATAAATGTGAGACAATGGGCGTGATGGTAACAATTCCCTCCTGTTAGCTCAGCTCCATCAAATATGTCCAATGCAATGTGCTTCTCATTATAGGCAAATACCACTGCTGCTGATGTGGTCTCCATATCCATTATAATAAGGATTTGGTCACAAAAGAGTACCGTTATATATATTTATTTAAATGTCTTTTAACCTTTATAAAACTATCCTTATTGTCAGAGAATTTTTCTGGTTTCCTGTGTGAAAAAGTGTTAAAATAATATGTTAGTGATCAACAAAGTAATCTTTATCTCGTGTGCAAGGTACATAATCTGGGTGGAAATGTTTTGAAGGAAAATCAACTTTCTTATTGGCTAGGATAGGCGTCAGAACCTCAGGGTCAATCTACCCTGTTCCAAAAGGAAAATTAACAAGCACAACATCCAGATTTTTTTAAATGAAGACAAACTATACTATCCTACAGCCTTTGCTAACAAATAAACGCATATATTTAAACATCTGTGCTTTCCAGATGAAAGATATAATAGATAAAATCCTTTCAGGTTTGAGTTCTGGGGCGTAAATCTTTTCCATTGTCATTACTTACCTACTATTATCATTAATCATTCTGCATAAAATTAATATTTTCAAGTACTAATATCTACATAAGTTGCTTGCTTAATACGTTTTTATTAAAATATTTATTTATCTATGATTTCACCGAAGACTCCTAAATGACTTGCAGAGACGCATAATTCTCTCTTTACCCCATAAAAAACTAAAAATCTAGCTCTGAAAACAGCATGAATTCTGCACTTATCATCTTTAATGTTAGTATATTGATGTGCATAATTAACCACAGTGCTTTTTGTTGTCAAGTAATTGTTACTATGTGAAAAATTAAAATGTCTTAAATATTCCACTTGAGAGTATTACTGCTGCCACAGTCTGTATTAGAGGGGAAAAATTGGTAGGGGTGGCCAGTGATTGGCTAAGAGTGGCCATGGCCACCCCTGGCCCCCCATCTAGCTCCGCCCCTGGTTCATAAAATTTATTCTCCATGCATTGTCTATTGTTCTGTTGTCCATCTAGCAGTCCAAATGGTGTAAAACAGGGGTCTTCAACTTTTTCCAGGCCAAGGACCCCCAAACTGATGGCAAGATGGAGCGGGGATCCCCTACTTGTATAAATTGTATGAAATTGTGTTATATCAAACTGGTCCTATAGTCACTCTATTACAGATGGAGTAATGTACAAAAGTAATTTCTCCCTGGGATTATTACAGTAGTTCTGGTTGTGAATGAAACGGTGCCCAGCTTGAAAAAGCTCCTGTGTGTCGCTGAATGTGCACATTGATGACTGAAAGACATCTGCTGCCTCCATTTATCTGTTTACTTCAGTGTGTTGAATTCATGTTAATGTGGATTTAAAGACATTTCAATTACTAGAAAAAAATTACAGGGGGAGATATAAAAAAATAAAAAAGTCAAATCAACCAAAACTTTCACGACCCCCATGCAGTACCTCTGTGGACCCCCTAGGGCTCACGGACCCCCTGTTGAAGACCTCTGGGGTAAAAAATATACCCTGACATTCATTGTTGAAGCTAGATCATCACAAACACACCGATTTGGGGCAGAACTTTGGTTAATACACAATTTGCATTAACCAAAAAGGTCAAACAATCAGTGACAAGGATGTTAAAACCATACAACAATTAAAGCAGCTATTTTCCTTACGTGCAATAAAAAGCATTGGCCAAATTAGTTTTTTATATTATGAAAATTAAAAAGCAATGTTTTAAATGCTAATTGTAAGTACATTTTTATTGTAATTGCAGTAAGAAAGTAATAATCAGTATTTGGTTAATAACATTAGATAAGATAACAGCAAAGTGCTCGATATTGACAGTTTTTGGTGGATCTAAGTTACTGACTTATATAAAAGGAACAAAAGGGGATGCACTAATTTATATGAATATATTTTTATTCACTAATGTTGATTTGATTTTTCTAATATTTTAATATACATCTATGCAGTCACTGACTGACTTTCTATATATATTTTTTAAAGCAAATACGTATAAAATATTATATTGGAGAAGTTTTACAAAGATGTCAAAATCATTTTTATAAGTTTGCACACCATTTTGTTGTGGGGATTCTTGCTAATCTTTCTGGGGCTTTTATTTTGTGTACATCGTTTATAGAACCATTGTGTAGACCTTGGTGCAAATGCAAGAAATGAACACTCATTGAAAGAAAAACTAAACTGGAGTCACTGTTTTCAGGCTTAACAAGTTTACATGAATTAACTGTTTGAATGAAAAACATATCTTTTGGTTGTTTCGTCATCAAGACGGAATATAATCGGCAGTAAATAACCATTTAGAGAGTTTAGTAAACAATTATTAACTTGTTCTAAACCCTGCAGGGGTTCTCACTCTTTTACCATAAGTTCACTAATCTCTCCAACACAAAATCAAAGTTAGCCTTAATTCCCCAAACCTTTTATTTTGATGTTCTTAAGGTAAAATTGATTTATCTTCTAATTAAGCTTTAATTAGTAGAGTCAACCCCCCACCCCCTGTATCAACTGTACCATCAATCCATCCATAGAAATTTACTGTAAAACTTTATATCAAACTGATCTGCAGTTTGTATTTAGAAAACTAGGACATTTAGTTCTGAAAATATAGAGGAACTTTGAATTCTTCTCTGACCCCATTTTGTTGTTCAAATGCAGGTATTGACTTCAAGATCAGAACCATAGAGCTGGAAGGAAAAAGAGTCAAACTCCAGATTTGGTAAAGTCTCTTTTTGATCGTTTGGTCATTTCTAAAATAAAAGACAAACTGTTACAATCAGAGCAGCAGCTCTAACATTTATTTTCTTCCTTCTGATGTCAGGGACACTGCAGGACAGGAAAGGTTTCGCACCATTACCACAGCATACTACAGAGGCGCCATGGTAAGGCCCTGCTCTTCTCAAGCTGCTCACTCTAAATCTACCCCCATCTTTTTCACCTCATGGCTTACTGATGTAGTCTTTTTCTTTCTTTTTTCTCCTCCTCAGGGAATTATGTTGGTCTATGACATCAGCAACGAGAAGTCCTTCGACAACATCAAAAACTGGATCAGAAACATTGAAGAGGTGATTTCAAACCTCAAAATAAAAATGGTTTAAGATGTTCTGCTTTACGTCTGCTTTGTGCTTTTAGCATTCTTTTCCTTTAAATGAGCCTTTCTAATATTTCCAGCACGCCTCATCTGACGTGGAGAAAATGATCCTGGGTAACAAATGCGACATGACTGACAGGAGACAGGTGTCGAAGGACCGTGGTGAAAAAGTGAGTCTCTGCAGCCTGCACTCACAGTAAAACCTTCCAGAAAGCAAATGCAGTTTGGAAATAAACTAAAACTGTTAACTTAAATCTCCCTCAGCTGGCCATCGATTATGGAGTGAAGTTCTTAGAAACTAGCGCCAAGTCTGGCTTTAATGTAGAAGAGGTAAGTGGAGCGCTTTTATTCTAAACATAAAGCTGGAAAGGAATAAAACTTGTATTTACAGACTCTGTGGGAATAAAACTACGCACCTCAGTGGAGGGGAATTCATGTGATATAAAAACACAAAGAAGGACATAAACTATGAAGACTTGTATAAGCTGTGTTATATTTTATACATACAAATCTGAAAAATGTTGGATGCATCTTTGAGTCAGACTTTGACTAGGCCATTCCAACACATACGTATGCTTTGTTTAAAACCGTTTTATTATAGCTCTGGCTCTATGTTTAAGTTAATTAGAAGCTGAATCAGCTCCCAAAATTATTTTTGCTCCCAATAGATTCAGATATAAAATTATTTAAAGCTACAGTGTGTAATAATTACAGGGATATACAGTCAGAAATGTAATATATTATACATAACTATGTTATTTAACATCATCTACGAGCTCAGCCTCTTAACCTTAATATTTGCGTTGCCTTAGAATTCGTTATTTATAATTACATAGGAGCGGGTCTCGCAGCTATGGAGGCAGACATCTTTGCGCTACGGCAGCGCAGAGCCAACAAACTAGCGATTGCGAGATCGCCAAAACGTCACAACGATGTAGAAAAAATAACGGGTATATTTATTATCTTAAGTTTACATGAAATCTATACCCTACACAGACTAATGAAATACTATCTGTAAAATTATCTATGTAAACAAACCTCATCACTTGAGAAGGTAGGTGATGCGGACGTCGTGGAAGACATTTTGTCCCGTAACGCTCGCCGTACTGTTGGGGGGGAGAAGCGGTGGGGGGAAAGATGTTCATGTTGCTGCAGTCTGCGGTGTGACCGCTAGATGTCGCTAAAAGTTACACACTGTAGCTTTAAGTCCAATTAAGTGGATTGTTTCTGTTAGAAAATATAAAGAACTTCTAACAAAAAGTAAGAAAACGGTTTTAGAGGAGTATTGAAAACAAAAAAATGTATTAATTCAAATAAATCATGTCAAAAAATGGCTTTATAACAATTAAACTGATACCTAAAATGCTGACCAGCTTTATGTTTGGAAATGTAAATATAAATCCTTTTATTGTCCAACAATAGGGGAATTTCACTCTCTGTATTGGATCTGTTCCCTTTGGGAGGAGTGGGCTGCCATTGTGTGGCGCACAGGGAGCAGGGTGGGGTTAAGGGTTTGCTCAGGAACCCAGAGTGCAGGCTGTGGGGATCATCTGGGTACTTGCTACCTTCTCAGAGCACAAGTGTACTGCTCTAACCCAATAGGCCAACACTCCCCCAATACGTAGTGGTAGTAAGTTCTTTGCGATGAGCTCCAAGTCTTTAAGGCTGGAATACCTCGTTTTCATCACCCTAATCTTTTTCTGACTTCACAGATGTTATTATATTCAAGTTAAAATTCTAGATTGGTCGCTGTATAATCTGAATTTTTCTTTTAAGTGAAACAGAATAAACTCAAAATAATACTTGATGTCAAAATTAGCCATAAGTTGAATTAGTTTGGGTTTAACACCTAGCCAAAACTTTGGAAAGTCTCCTTTCACATATTTTGTGTGTGTGTTTATCCATTTTTTGAAAGCCAGTTTCAGACGAATGGAGACTGAATTTAAATACATGCCGCACTTTTCAGACTCTTATCACTAAAAAAAAGATATATTTTTTTGCTCTGCTTTGTAATTGACCATTGCTTAAAATCCAATCGAGAATGTTTAAATTTTGCAGCAGGTTGTATTGATAGAAAGCGGCTCTGTCATTGTAAATGATTGATTTACGCAATCGCTACATTAACATGTGGTTCTCTTTTTTTTGAAGGCCTTTTATACGATTGCAAGGGACATTTTAAACAATCTGTGCTCAAAAACGGTAAGCAATGCTGACATGTTTATCCAGTCTGCTGCAGTTTTTCATACTAACGGCTCTATCTGTGGTTTCTTGGATTGTTAGACTGACAGCAGCGGCGGAGGAACAGGGAAACCGGTGAAGATCACAGATAAGAAGTCTAAGAGAATTAAATTCTTCAAGTGCTCTCTCCTCTAAGCTACAGACGGATGGGCGTCACACCTCTTTCGTGACCTTGCTTGTCGTCGAGGACTTCCTCTCAGGCTCCGTCGCTGCAGCTGCACCAGTGCTGCTCTTGCACACACAGGGTCTTACTGCCATCTGAGGTCACCTGTTCATGGCGGTTGTGACGCTCCTGGCCTGTTCTGCTGATCAGAAGACTTTCGACAGGGGCCCCTAGACTTTATATCTGCTCATGCAAAAGACTTTTGCAGGCGTTTGTAGCTTTCCCTGCAGAAGGCAAACACTCTGCTGGAGTTTATAATATGAAAATGTATCAGTTGCACACTATTGTATTATTATTTAACATATTGTAGCACCATTTTTATATCATATGTACTACCTAGTATAAGAATTCCTATGCCGATGCTGTGAGAGATCATGTTCCAGCGTTGATTGTGCCTGTCTGTTTGACGTTCATGTATGTATTAAGCTTCTGGCCTTCTGTTGCACTGACATTAGTTCTGCTGCTGAGGAATGTTGTGATAAAATAGCTAAAAAAAAAAGCAAACAAGTGCAAAATGTTGTATTTTGATAGTTTTTATTCTTTTTTTTTTCTTATAGAACCTACATGTACACAGGTTTTTGGTGTTTAAATGAAACTGTGAAAGGTGTTTATTTCTTAGAACCAGGACTGAATTTATACTTTTTACAAGTGTGATGTTTATTGCATGAAAGCGGTAGGGAGATCCCTATGGAGGCTCAATACTAAGCACAGAGCATCTGAAGAAAAAAAAAAGTTTACAGGTAGTATTCGAAAATGACGAGCGTATATGTAGAATGTTGTTTTTTTTTTTTGCTATTCACATTGTGTATGCATGCCTTTTTTTATTTTATACTAAAGAGAAGATGTGTGGTAGGTTTCCCTTAAAGTTCCTCTAAATGAAAACACAACTGGGAAAAACTGTAATGTGACTGGTAGACTGTAACTTCTATCTTACACTCACTGAAAGCAGCAGCAGTAAAGAAAAAAAAATCTTACTTTAGGTGTTTTCTTTTTCTTAACACCTTTTATATTTTTCAAATAATTTTCCCATCATTTTCCAAACATGTTTAGCTGCTCAGTCTTGCTTTTTTAAGTTTCTTTTCTTGATTTCTTTTATTTCTCGTCCTCCAACCTCCTTTTCTCTTCCTCCCAAGCTGACGCCCCGCTTGCTTCAGGGAGGTTCCTCTCACTGCTGGAGGCTCTTGGCTCCTTTGAGACCATCAGGGGCTTTGCTTTTCTGTCGCTGGCGTTGCAGCTCTTTGACCTGTGAGACCGCATGTACCTTTCATCAGCTACAGTCAGGTAGTCTGTACCGTCTGAGGCATTTCTCTTGGGCTTTGTCGTCCTTTGGTCGTCGTCTTGCTCTACTCCCGTTTGTCTGGCCTCACTTTCTGTGTTGTTCAGTCGTTTTAGCTCTTCATGTGAAGTGGCGGTTTGGACTGAGGATGCTTTTCCACCAGGATGGACCTGGTGCTCTACATGTGCCTGAGTTTTATCACCTGCTTCAGCTGGGTCATAGATTATACTGCTGATAGCCCTTTTCCTAATCTTAGGGGATGTCTGACTTTGGTTTTCGGCTGGAAGATCTCTTAGAGATATTGCCCTCCTTGGAGAAGGAGAAGCTCCTACCAGAGGTTTGGCCTCAGCTGTAGGCTCAGCAGCCCCCTCTACTGTATCAGGGGGGTGGACAGCAATGGTGCTGATGGATCTCTTTGTTAAAGGAGACATGAGTTGGTCTTCAGCAGGATAGTATCTCAGAGATTTAGCCCTTTTGGCTGGCGAGAAAGGTTTTAGCCTGTTTTTGTCCAGAAGCATTGCGCCGCCTTGCTTTATGTCTGTGATAGTCTCTTGGCTTGATGCCCCAGAAGGAACCTTCTGTTCACAGGGAGATATGAAAATGTCCACACATGAACTGGATTGAGATCTATCCAAACCACCAACCTCTAGGGTCTGTGCTGTGTTGAGAGCACAAGTGCTTGAAGCTTGGCGTACACTCCGCTCTCTCTCTAAGCCTCCTTTCTCGTCCGTGTCCTTCTGTCTGGATGCAAACTCTTCCATGTCCATGTGGAAGCGGTAGAGGCTGTAGCCATCTGCGCTGTTGATGCTGCCTTGCCGGAGGAGAGAGGAATGGTCGCACATGGACGAGGATTTGGAGAAGGTTCTGGTTAGCTCCATTTTGTCCAACCCTGCAAGCTTTTCCAACGCTGAAGCCATACGCCCATGAAGCTCTTCCAGCTGGGCCAGACGTAGGTCTACCGTCTGGAGAGATGCTTTCATAGTGTTTTCTCTCTCATTGACCTCTTCCAGACGCATTGCCATGTTCTCAACTCTACCAAGAAGATGAAAAATACTGTAAAATACCTGTAATTGCAATGGCTTAGGAAAGTAAGACAGAGGGAGAATTTTACCTCTCGGAAGTAACCTTAATTCGTTCATCACTTGAGGACTGTTGCTCATCCTCCTTTTCACGGAAATGCTCCTCCACGCACTGTTCCTCAAACTCGTACAGATTCTTAAGCTCCTCTGGATTCAGCCTAAGCTCTGCAGGAAAAAATAAAACCAAACGTAAACTTCCCTTTGACTCGATCAGTAGCACGTTTTCTGTAATTAATATTGTTTAATGGAGGACACTAACTAAGGCCCCGGTCTTTCTCATCAAGCTCTCCTTCCTGTTTCTTCTTGACGCAGCGCCGGAAAAGTCTGTTGAAGAGGATGTAGAGGTGGCTCAGGATGATGAGAGGCGGAGGCAGGATGGGGCGATCATGGAAAGTCATGATCAGCTGGTATCTTTGAAACTTCCACACCTGGTTGGAGATGGATTTGACTTCAAAGAAAGTGTTGCTGTGTGACGGAAAAGACAAATATTATATATTATATATATAATATATATATATTATATAATATTAGAAAACGCAGACTGATCTGTTTACTTGAAGACAGCAATGAGCAAGTTAACCAGAAGGATGTTTGCCACGAGAAGATAACAAGCCATTATTGCAGGTGTGAGCCATGCACCAGGGATACATGGAGGAAGTTTTTTCCCATCTTCATCGTATAAATGTTCTCCACATGGAGCTGAGGGGAAATAGATTAGAGAATTAGTTTTGGTATATAAAGTTCAGCCTGATTATTAGAGTTAAAAGCAGATGAATTGAAAACGACTTACGATTGATTTCCATTGCATAGACTTAGGAAAATACAAGACATACACAAGAGCACAAAGAAAAAGTTAATATAAATATAAAAGGTTATATCAATATAACAGAATTATGCCAAGGTGAAGTTGAATTTTGTAGTCCTTCAAACAAATTTTTCGTTTACTGTATTTGACTAAAATTTGGAGGATAATCGTAATATAACCAGCTTACAGTTTATATTAGCAATATGCAACAACAATGCAATAACTTTTAAATGTTATAAACTAAACTCCTGATTAATATAAAATATTTTGCAACTGAAATTCTAAGCAGGAATATTAAACCTGAAGCAGTTTGGTGAGTTTGCGTATTTAATTATTTTTTTTCGTATTAGATATTTTACAGCACTTTGTAATTGTTTGGGAACTATGGAGAGTAAATTCCATTCCAAAATTGAACATTTTCCATCTGCTTCTAAGATAGATAAGCTACTGTTGATGTCATAATTTATATTTATATTCCCTTGAATTTTGTCTTCTGAAGACTTAAAGTAAATAAACAGAGTACAATATAACAACGCAAATTGTCATTGGAAACTTTTAATGCTTTAACAAAAATTAATTTAGATTTTAATAATTTTAAAATTATGACCAGAGATCATAAGGCTCGAGTTAAAATAACTACAAACATATAAAGGTATAGATATGTTTGCCTATGGAAACAACGAAAAAAACCTTTAAATATAATTTTCAAAATTGGATGAATGTGTCATTCCCACACATGCACTGAGGTTTTTCTGCTTTTTTATATCGGACATTCCAGATGTTCAAATACAACCACATAGCCTGTAATATGAATAAAAAATAGGCAAAAGAAGTAAAAAAACAAACAAAAAACTAGTGAATAATTTTACTGTTCCATTTTGTGTTTTAACTAATTCTTGGTTTGTTTTATTCTTGTTTAAACCATTTAAAAACATTACATGTTGTTTGCTTATTGCTGATTTTGACTTTGTGTTTATGACTTCACCCTGACACAAGAAACTTTCACAGAAAAACACATCTTAACAAGTAGGTGAATAAGTGAGAAGACATGCAATGTCTGTTCTGTTCCTGTTCTATGCAGCATTATTGCAATGAAAGCCTTAAAGAATTTCCACAAATCTGCCAGCAGAGGGAGCCAAAGTATGGCGTGTACCATTTTGTACACATCAAAAAATTAACTTTAGTGAAATTTAAAAAGAAAACACTGATCATCTGCCCAGAATCAGGAAACAGAATCTTACTATGAATTCTAGTCTTACGGTCTATCGAGTCCGCAAAAACCTCCCCATAGATCATCCAGTAGGGCATGTAGAAGATGTTCCTGGCCAGACGCCAAGTCGGTTCTTCATCCGGGTGAAGGATGGCTTGCCGAGCTACCCCAAAGCTCATCAGTACCACCAGCATGATCACCACAAAATACATCATATCAATCATCTAAAGGAAACAGAAGCAAACATATTTGAGTTTAGTTGCACATTTTATGCCTGCATATATTTCTTCAAACTTTACTGTGTCTACCATTTTCCCTATCATCATCACGTAGGGTCCCAGGTACTTGTTGACTCCAAAGATGTCCAGCACACGTATGTACCAGAAGATTATGTCTATGCAGTAGATGACTCTTCCGTAGCCCATGTATGGTTCGGGCTGCAAGCGCAGCATTAGCGCCAGAAGGAAGGTAGAGATGGCAGCAAGGTCTGTGATGTTCCAGTAGTCCTCCATCCAAACACTTATCTTCTGTTTCAGCTTCCCTGGCTCTGACATCAGAATCTATGCACCAGAATTTAAAATCAACCTATTAAAACATTCAGTATTATTGAGAAAATTTACAAGGAACATATTTTCATCTTTTACCTGTCTAACTTTTTCTGTGCCAAGTGTGAGGATGTATGCAATGACTGTCCACTCTTGTACAGATGGCCACCGCTCCATTTTAACCAGGATGATGTAATTATACATCATCAAATAACCCAGATAGCAAATCTATAAGAGAAGCGACATAAGAAAAAAGGCAAAACGTTAAGGATGTGCTTAAAGTTATTTCAAAATATATAATCTTCTTCAAGTCTCGAACTTACAGTATTGAACCAGAATTTGGTAAAAGGGGCGTCATAAAACTCAAAAAACCTTCTCCCGATTGGAATTTTGCGGACATTAGCGCTGCCCTCCTCCTCATCTCCTTTGCGGGAAACCCCGTCATTGTTAGGGTCCTACAGCATCAACACAGTCATAAAGTTGTCATCCTTTATTCTGATATGACAGTATGTGAAACATATCATTGCGCATGGACCTTGCTGGATTTTGTGTCATCATCTTTGTCCTTTCCTTCCTGTTTGTCTCCAGGTCTTTGATAAGAAGTGTCCTCTCCAATTCGGAAATCCAGGAGCAGAATCAGAGGAGGTAAGATGATGCCAAGAATAACCTAGGTGTGATATTGTTTATCTGATTAAAACACCAAGTTTTGAAACAACTATTTGTTAGAACTGCTTAATAACAAAATCACTTTAAAGATCCACCTTGAGGCCAGGATTTTTGCCTATCCTTAAACAGCCCATCCACATGTCAGTAAGCAACATCTGGCTGCAAGTGTGAGCGATGAAGTCCCGTTGTTTTGCGGCCACAGCCAGCTTCAGACAGGTGGAGTTACTCCAGTTCACTAGCTCGTATGTTAGGAGTTTCATGGCCACCTGCTCATCATGCTTGTAGGACTGGTCCAACAGCTCATAGGCCAGTTGGCCAAACTCTCTGAAAAAAAGAGTGATCATATTAATACAAATTTGTATGAAAGACCCCAAACAACACAAGAAAAAATAAACACCCACTAACACTAAGAAGTTATTTTTTTTCTATTAAAGCACCTCTTTACAATGCATATCTATGATTACACATTATCCTACTAGGAGCAAAACATTTTTTGATAAATGTTAGGCTTGCAGATTTTCAATAAAGAAAAACTAAGCAGCAAAATCACTTATGCAGGAAGCATGGATAGTTTTCTGCTGAAATAAAAAACAGGTTTTTGAACACTACAGTTAAAAAGTTAATATAATCCAAACCGTCAAATTGGCTAGTAGTGGCTGTGCTAGCCGCCACAGATGGAGTTCACCCCCATTTGGTGGGTTGGTGGGTGCTAATCTCATGCCCTTGTAGGAGCAATTTAAAGTCCTGGATGGGAGAACAACTTTATTCATGCTATGAATAAGACATAGAGAACTAGCAAGAATTTAACAGCCAGACTTTATGTTGTTAGTAAACATAAAGTTTATCAGCAATCAAATGCTTTAATTCCCTGTAATCAGACACATTAATATGGTACGGGTAAATCCACATAACAAAAATGAACATTGACAGAATTTCAGGTTTTCTGTTCACAGTTTTACTAATAGCCATTATTTCCCTCATACGGTGAAGTACCTGTAGCCAAAGGGTGCTTTTAATTTCCTGGGTGGGGTGCTAGTCTGCTTAGCCTCTAAGCCAGGGGTCACCAACCTTTTTAATACTGAGAGCTACTTCATGGGTACTGTGTCATATTAAGGACTACCAATACTGGCCTATGAGCCAGAGGAGTCAGCATTAACCTACATTTCATCCAAAATAACACATTTTTATTTTGTTATTTCTAATTTTCTATTAGATGCTGTAATTTTGAAATCTCTATAAATGCTTTATTTCTCTATATTAAGGGTCCCCAACCTCTTTTAAACTGAGAGCTACTTCATCGGTACCGTGTCACGTGAAGGGGCTACCAATACTGACCTTTGAACTACAAGGGTCAGTGCTTACCAATAAACATATTTGCAATGCTTTATTTAATTTAAATATTCTCATTTTCAAATCTTTAGAAGTGTCAGTGTGATTACAAAAGTAGAGCAACAGACTGAAATAACCTTTTAGAGGCAGCTCACTGGAAGATTGTGCTAGTTTTAGAACAGGATTGAGGGCACCACATGTAGTCCTTGGGGGCTACCTGGTGCCTGTGGGCACCATGTTGGTGACCCCTGCTCTATATGATTAATATGATGAAATACTCTATAAATGATTAAAAAAGAAGAGCTCCAGGCCTTGATGCCGCAAGCACTGCATTGGTGACCCCTGCTCTGACCTATTGCTTCCAGTCTTCTGCCTTCACACTGGATCAATATAAGGTTGGACTTTATAACCTCAAACTGCAGCTTTTAAATTCAGCTCAAAAAGTTTTTGCCAGATTTATTTTCCTTAGCACTTTTTTAAGTGTTCCTTTCTTCAAACATGAAGAAAATCGTTTTAAAAAGTTTGAGTACAACTCAAACAGAGTTTGGTTTTTTTTTTTATTATGTTTTACAGTTTCTTAAAGCTTGAATAAATTACTGCAAAGAACTCACTTGGAGTTGTTTTCCAAGTCTTGGGATATGTCGTCCACCAGTTCACTTTCAGAGCACTCGTGGGCCATAGCCTTATACAGTTTACAAGCCACCAAGGCCTTGGCCATCGCCTCCTCACCACGCTGCCAAAGAAACAGCGCCATCTTCTGGCGCTTCAGCAGCACAGCCCACAGCATCAGCTCATGGAAGGGGTACTTGAACCGACAGACCTCTGGGTCATCCTCATCTATCTCCACCTCTTCTTCCTTCTTCTTTTTGTTTTTTTTCTTGCCTTTTGTTCTCGGTTCATCATCCTGAAAAAAACAAAAGGTTTCAACTTAAAAATCAAACATTTTGCTGTACCTGGTAAATGTTTAAAATAAAACAGTTTTTCATAAAAACCTCACCTCCATTCCCAGGAGCTTCAAAGCCTTTGGCTGCATGAGAAAAATAAAACATATATTGTTAATACTACATGATATTTCATCTGACCAGCTGGTCATATGTTCACTTCCATCTATCCATACCCTTTTTAGTCCATATAGATTATTGTAGAGGTTGCGGAAAGCCTTCCTTGTGTAGTTGCTCCTGTAAGCTCCACCCATGAGGTATTCTAGTACCAGGCCGATATCAATCAAAGTAATCTGGTAATCTGGAGGAAGGTTTCCCTGGAAAATTAACAGTTATAAAACACTTTGAAAAAGTACTTTGAAATATTTAGTAAAGCAAAGAATGAATCAGAATTTGTTTCTACATTGTTGAATTTGTCAATAATTATTTACCTTTTTAACATCTCTAACTACAGCGTGAAGGGTATTTGCAGGTCCCAGTTTCTAAAGAAAAGTGATGATTAGAAAATGGTCAGTAATACTATTTCTGCAAATTTTAGCAATGCTATTTCAGTCTTCAGAACTCTATAGGAACTCTCTTTTTTTTTCTGTGTCTTTATTTTGGACCCACTGTGTTGTACAACTCCTCCAGTCTGGGAATGGTGAGGAAATGATGGATGTTGACCCCGTTCTCAAGCAGCAATTTAACAAAATCCACTCTGTCCAGCACCAGAGCATCCATCATAGCCTGCTCCAAAGAGTTCACCTAGCAGACAATACAGCATCACACAGAGCCAGTAAGTTATGTTTGTTATTTTCCATGGAGTGTTCTCCATCAACTCCTTACTCACCCAGCGAATGAGCTCCAGCTTTCTAGGATCTGTCTCCTCAGGAGGTTCCGGTTTGGCCTTTCCTTTCCCCTTCCCCTTTTTGGCCCGAACCTTGCTGCGTGGAGCGCTGGCTGGACTCTTTGTTTTTTCCTGGGTTGAAGCTACACTCGTAGAATTGGCAATGGCTCCAGCAGGCTAGTAGGAAGTAGATTTATAAGAGACAAAAAATGTTTTCAGTTTTTTTAAGTGATAAAAAAAACAATCAATCATGTTTTTGTTGTCTTTCTTTGTATTTGACTTGGGAATTATGCTTTTTTAGTATATTGGAGAATTAAAACCTTATTTAATTTGTTTGATCCCCTCCACCCCCCTAGGAGAGAACATGATTGTGTCTGCTTATGTTTACATCACAATTATTTATCTTTGGAAAAAAAATAAAAGAAACTCTGCTGACCCATAGCTTTCATCCGCCCCTGTTTAAAACCGTTTCCTCTTTTGTCCATTACACACCCATGTCTATAAATAGCAGATATGATAAGGAGTGTAGCTGCTGTGGAACAGCTTGTATCGATTGGCTAATTTTCACAGACCACTCACTGGTAAGTTGTGCCCGTAAACGAAAATGTGATTGCGGGCAATATCCACTCGGTTCCAGGCCAGAGCTAAACTGAGCTGGTCTGCTGCTGAAGCATTTGTGCCTGATGCAAACAAAGAGAGAACATGTAAAAAACATGTCTATGCTCCCTGACAGAAAAACAAGATTGTTGCTGTGAAAAGATCTATAAATATGGCAATGATCAACATGAAGTAGGACTCAGAAGTTTAACATTTACAAGTGTCCATGTAAATGTTTTTCCCCCTACTAATCATTCTGACTAGTACTGAGGAAATATACCAAATTTGAGTATTTTATCTTTATGACACAATACCTTTTAACAAGGCGGTCAGAATGGCCATTTCAATATCTTGCTGCCCTTCAGAGCCCATTCGAAACACAGTGATCTGCATGCAGGAAAGAAGGGAATTTAAAAAAACTGTGGCTGAATTATAGTTTAATGCCAGAAGAGAAAATAGGAACCTAGGCTTCTTCATTCTCTGGCCATCCTTATGGAAACAATCAGTCACTTTTCTCAGCAGGAACGAATAGCACTTGCTTTGTGATGTATTTAGCTGAACCCAGTAGTTTGTATGCAGCTGGTTCTGTCACATGCATTCACGGCAGATTAAATTAAAGCTGCATGAATACTTAGACTTAACAACTGGCCAAAGGCTGTAAATAATAAGCATCACACAACAATTTAATATTGAAAACATGTTTTTTATTTTTTGGTTCTGGTTTTTGAATTGTTCAGTTTCACCATTTATTCCAGCTGTTTCAAGTGGTTCATTTGCTATAGGATAAGATCATCATGTCAGGTCAACGCACACGCACCTGCTGCTACAGGACTGCAGCGTCGGATTGCGGATATGCTGAAGTGACATGATCCTTGAAAAAGCTGTTTAAGTTGCTTATCCTGGTCTGTTGGAGCATTACGCAGTCTGAAACATTATTATGTTGGTGGAGTGATAGCACTCTAAAAGCCAGGGGGAGGATTAGAGACATAGAGCATCTACTCCATCTGCATACAGCATGCTTTCTGTGAACTTATAAACTTAGTACTTTCACCAAACAAGATGAATCCAGATGTAGCCTATATGGTTTATCAGGGTTATATATGCAATTTATTATCCTCTTCACTTTTGAGGATTCTGCTCCAGATGCTATTTCTAAAAAAAAAGAAAATAAAAACACATTCTGAAAACACATTTTATATATATATGGTTAATCTGCTTTAGTGTCGATTCAGTGGTGACGGAGAAGAAGCTGACTTTTCACATACATGGTGTTTCCAAGGTATTCATACTCCTTGAACTTTTTCACATTTTGTCACTTTATGCCTTTTCTTGTGGGTTTGGAGGCATGCGTTTGGCAGCTGCAGCCCTCTCCAAGTATTCTCTAGCAGTTTTGCTCATCTACTAAAAAATCTTTGCATATGCTTTTATGCAAAGTAGCCTCAGCTGAAGGGATTGGAATAGTCTGCAAGCAGAAGCTTTTGAGTTTTACTCTCATTTCTCAATAGCTTTAGGCCTTGACTTTTATTATTTAGTCATTTTAGCCCATTAAGTATTTGGCAGCTTACAAATTTGATTCCAGGAGCTTCATCCAGAATCTCGGCCTGTCCAGCCAGCTTTTACATCCCTGTTAAAGAAAAGCATCATACAGCATGATGCTACTACTACCATGTGCCACTATGGGGATGATGTGTTAATATATGTTAACCAAAAAGTTCAGTTTTGATCTCATCGGACCACAAGCAGAATCTTCCACACGATGAACCAAAAAGCCCAAATCACAAACATTTCTTAAGATCATGTTTATTCACTCTGTTAATGGAGATTAACACAGACGAATGGAATGGCTATATAAACGACAATGGACACTTGATGAAATTAGAAATGTTTATTGAGTGACAAAACAAATGATACTGAAATGAAAGATGATTTTAAATGCATATAAAACCTCCACTGTTACTCACCAGCTCCCTTTTTTTCATGCACTCCATTACCATGAGCAGGATCTGCTGAGACTGACTTTTGCTATAATTGAACGTCTTCTGGATCGTGACCAGGAGCTGGTCTCTGACGTCATCATTAACCAGGCTTCAGGAGAGGATTGGGAAATCAAATTTCAAACTTTTTTTAACCCGAGCATACCACTGAGGTGTTACAGCAGAGGAATCGGCTAAGGCCTCACCCTCCGTCCTCTGAGAACTTGTGTGCGAAGGATATGATGTCAGAAGCACGGCCGCTGCCATCACACACCACCACAGGGATGGGAGGCTCATCCCTCAGGCTCTCTAAAGTGATAGAGATGACATTGGGACCTCCCTCCACTATCAGGCACACAAGAGGAACGCCCTGACCCAAACCTGGAATGTAGAAAAAGACAAGGTGTTTCTACGACTAGGTGGATAATGAATTTCAGAATTCAATAAAAAAAGTGACAGAATTCAATGTGATGGAGGCAGGTGAGCGACGTCAGTGGTGACAGCTGGGCATCCCTTTGCTGTCCCTGCCTTATTTAAAGTCCCAGGCATAGGATGACAAAGGGAAGCCCACTTGTCACAGGGAAAGGGAGTCTCCACCGACTCCTCCTCTAAGATCCTGGCTCACGCGTCCCGTAGGCACCTGGAAGAGTTTGTCTCAATGTATGTCTCTGGAATTCAGAGTTTTTTCCATGCTTTGGAACAAGTGTATTTTTTCAAAGAGAACTTAAAAACCCATATCTATCTAAGGAGTTTCGTTTTATATACTCTACGGCCTCTACTTTTATATTGGTGTTTTCTTTTAAAATTCAGGCTTTGTATTATCACATTATGTTTTAAAAGGTCAGATGCAAAGACAGCTTTATTAGATAAACTTTTGACAGAAATTGAGAGAGTGTGTTTATTATCAGTCTTCATTTGAATTCATCAGTGACTAAGGTACCAACACAACCTCTGACCCAGCTGCCCATAATCCAGCAATGCTTACGAGTGTTGATCTTCTGCAAGGAAATGTGCTTCTCCACCAGCCGCCGGAGTTTGACCTCAGAGCCATACTTCCCACAGGTTCCGTTGTCAGTGAGGATAAAATGAGAGTGGCTACTGTTGAGCACTGCAAGCTTGCTAAGTAGGTTAGCCATGGATTGATAGGGTCTGGTTACCTAGATAAAGAATGGAGAGAAAAGTGTCAAACAACAGTGATTATTGAAACAAAAATGGGAAAATGTAAGAAAATCAGCTCTTACATCTTTTCCAATGAGGTCCTCTTTGTTCTCCAAGATACCCCACGGGGCAATCCCTATTGCGCACACCTTCCCTCGTGACTTGGATGAATGGTCCTTTAAGGCATCGCCCACATGACGGATCACCCCTTAAATAAGAACAGCAAAACAGATTAGCGTGAAAGAAATTGTTGTTTCCGAAGCCTCATGGTGCCTCGTCATAAGATATAATTCGGTCAAATCCACACAAACCGGAACTTTTCCTGAATTTCCAAGAAAAATATCTAATTATAGAGCCTAAATCTGCAACAATGGCTTGCTAAACCTCATCCCTTTAGGAAATTACAGGTCAGGTATTATGCAATGAAAATCTCGAGCTATTTGGTGAAAAGCAAAAGCATTAGAATAACCTGTGTTCACTCCGCCCGTGAAGATCCAAGCTCCTGTGGTGACAGCTGCTTTTATCAGGCCTTTGCCAAACACTTGCTTGAGTTTGGGTTGGAGGTCAAAGTTCTGGAGACCACCATGCACTGAGATGAGCAACGTTGGCAACTCCAGCTGCCAGTCCTTCACCATCAGATGCAAGAGGTTGTCAGGCTTGGTGTCATAAGAAACCCGGATGTACTGTGGAAGAAAACCATTCAGTCAGTTCCGTTTGCTCTCAACTCTATGACAGGAACAGAAAATGTCCAGATTCTTACCATGGCCTTGTTAATGAATCCTCCTCCCTGAAACTCGATGAGCCCATAGGAGTCTGTAGGATAGGTCCTGGTGTGTTTCACCACACTCCATTTTTCATTGGGGGTCTCAATCTGTACCAACGGCGTCGCCTCTGCTATGGAACTGGCACCAGGAGGGATAGCCACATGCTGCGTCACCAGCTGGCCACAGGCACATCTGCCACACAGGCAATTCATGTGAATTAAAACTTATTATGACTTTGTCCTTTCAAGACGTATATCAATAGGCCTTTTTATTCCATATCTCTGCCTATTTATGTTTCTAGAAATGTTAACTGCTTGTCTGCAGTCAGCAGCTCACAGAGGAAGGAGGAACTTTGGAAAACCACCAAAAAATAGCACTTTAGGCGGTAAAAAGTTTAGCAAACGAAAGAAACTATTTATTAAAGATAAAAGTAAAGATCAAATTTATCTATTACCGTCATTTAAAAAAGTATATATATTTTTTAACTTTACAGCCTCTAAACCAAACCGATCTTAACAACCTTTGCGATTAATTTGACATACTTCATTTTAATCCATGTTAAAAGTTTCATAGGTCTTTTTTTTTTATTACCTGGTTGGGTCCTTGCTGGGAAATATGTGAACACATTCCCGCTTTAGAAATGTCCTCTCAATCCAAGCTTTCTGCGCCTGCGAAAACAAAACCAGAGAGAACCTAAGTGAGCATTACCAGCTATCATAGCTTCCCCCAGGAGATCAGCCTCAACGATATATATCTGAATTTAAGTTGCACTTTCAAAATCCTCTTAGCCGTAATCCCCCGGCTAAAAGATGGCGAGAGTTTGAAATCTGCAAAGAAAGCATAAATAACAGACGGGGAAGTATTATAGTCAGGAATAAATAGAATACACTCAGTGGTGGATTATGCTCCAGTAGAAGCTGATGAAAAAAACGAAAAAAGTCTGTTTTCTTATTGCTGTGCCGAAATTTTGCAGGATGAAAACTTGGTTGAAGTTTAAAAGCAGTGTCCCACATATTTTTCGCTCTGATTGCTGTTTGATCGTCTTCCAGGATGGAGCAAATCTGCCCAGAATACAAAGTACAGTTTTTGTTTTTTTCTTCCCTGACAACATTAGCAGTCCATTCAAAGCTGATGAATTATCTGCAGCAACAGTTTATTAAGAAATCCCTATGAAATACAATAGACAAAGAATTAAAGTTATTGAATTATGTTAAGGGATCTTGAGGTGGGTCATACATGGATGAATTAGAGACTGTCCACAAACTCTGCTGGTGTCTTATGACTTGTCACAAGTTATAGAGACCCAAAGAGCTCTCTCCCACTGCTGAGTCGCCAAAACATGCTTTAAACATTTAAAGGGTGAGCCTTTTTCCTTGGTTTCCTCTTGCATGTCTTAGCGTTTTTATTAAACCTTTAAAAGTGAACTTTTTTTGAGTAAATTTGTATTTCAACAAGTATTTAGCCAATTTACTCGCTACTCATTAGATTTTGAAAATCATTTTTCCCTCTTTTCTTTTTTTTTCTCATCCTGGCTCAGAGTATTATTACGCATCATTGAGCATCCAGGGCTCCTGCAGTGCTGCCTGCTCATATTTACCTCATCTGAATTCACTCTCCTGGGACAACAATTTAAACTAGACCCCAAACTATGAGATATCGTTAAAATATTGCTAGAAATTAGGTTCAAAAATACCTTGAGTTGTAAAGTCCACTTACACCCAGTCCTCTGCCTCTGCTGGAGCCTTACAGTCCTACTGCCTGAAACTGCAACACATTGGTGTTTTAGGAGCGAGGAGAAGTCTGCTGCTCCTCTGGCTGAGCCTTCCTCTTCTGCTGCTCTCCCATTGAATCCCAAAGGACAAGAAACTTCTTCACTTTATGAGGGCAGGCTAATATGATGAGCATGTGAGCAAAGTCTTTGTTCGCCCAAGTCCCATGACTCCAGTTCAAGGTAATCCTTTTGGGAGTCCCATGACCCCCTTCTGCATGCCCACGGGGTATTTTCATCCTTGGCTTGATACAAGGCACAACAAATCTACTTTGATAACCTGCCCCTAATCTCCCAACTTGTTGAAACCTCTTTCTTTGTGTTTTGCCCTTGCACCTCTGTATATGATCCAGTGCCTGTTTCTGTGGGAAGATGGCTCAGAGTCTCTAACCTAGCCAGTTAAGAGACTCCCGTGGTTTTCATCTGAAACCCCGAGCCTCACCCACCTTACCCCCTAACCCTCGTACTCCTTTGATTTCAACTACATTTGAATAATTGGGAGAATTGGATGCAAGCATACTTTTGTAAGGCGCCTTGTTAAAGAATGACTGGTGTCCAGTCAGGGGCAAGGTCAGTTAATCTCTGGTTCCACACACATTTTTATAGGGGGAAGGAAAATACAGCCATCCTCTGCTTTGCATTGCTAGTTACACACATTGAATTGGGCAAACATTTCTCAATTTAAAACCACAATTTATGTCACTGAATGAGACAAAGTAGAGATAAAATACATGGTTTAAAAAAGGTAAAAAAGCTCAACAAAAAACATTAAAACAATTTTTTTTTTATTGAACCTCTTTTATTTTGAAACCCTCAATTGAATTCAGTGCAATGATAATAAATAGAGCCTGTTCTGGCTAATTTAATTTAAAATTTTAGTTGCTTTTCTATGGTGGCCTCAAAGGTTTGTTAGAGAACGGCGTTATGAAAGCCGATGAAACAGCAGACAAATGAGAATAAAGATGTAAGTGTCTTTAAACCAGGTTTAGATTAATGTCAAAAAATAAAAACAAATAATAAAGTGCAAACGCCAACCTAACACACCATGGTTGTTTAGCTAAAATAGGAAAATGTTAAACTGAAGAAGTCCAAGTCTGGACTTTTTGGTAAGACTTAAAATAGTTTTTCATGACTGCTCACCTTAAAATCTGAATGAGCTTGAGCTCTTTTGTAAAATATGACTTAACTTACAACCCTTTTAGCCTGAATTAAAGTGATAAAAGATGGCATATAACAGGAAACTGAAAAAAATCCACATCACACTCCTTATAGGAATTATTTTTCTCATGCTTTCTTTTTTTAGTTTTATAATCATACAGTACCATTTGGTGGTATATAGTATCAAAGTCCTTAACCACATAAAAGATTGTAGTTGAAATGCCACAAGCTATTAGAAAAAATAGGGATATGTTTTTTTTTTTTCAAGACATAGAAATCAATGAAAAACTAACATCATGTTTAAGAGATTTCAGGGTTTTTTTTGCCACTTTAAGAGTTGAGATGTCAAATATCACACATTTTGTTGGTTTGTAGCAAAATCCTTTACAAAGGATTCTCCATATGGAATAAAAAGGGAGTTTAAAAATCTAAGGACAGAGAATTAAAATTTAAAAGAATTGTTTTATGTTTTCAAATGAGAACCTTTTAAGGTAAAAGGGAGCAGTTTGAGCCTGACTGGGCTGACGGCAGAATAATACGGACGTCCACAAATTTCACCCGTTTTTGTCCTCCTCAGGATTTTAGCCACTGGTCATTACAGGAGAGCAAAAACAAAGAGGATTTCCAGAAGGGGATTTTTTTGGCCAGTAATGACGCATTTATTTCAGCTTACTTAAACTCATTAACCACAGCAATTAAAGCCAAAATCTAGCCAGCCAGCAAAGCAGCTGGCCTCGTTAGGAGCTCGCCTTTCCTTTGAGCTCTTAACCAACAAAGACCATCAAGAATTAAGACGTCGCTAGAACAGAGTGTTACACCAAGCAAATGATCGAGACATAAGCCAGCGTGGAAACAAAACCCAGCATTCATTCTGGAATGCACACTTTTATGAGAAAATAATCACTGAAAATCACATTGCAAGTTTTTCAAGTTGAACATAAATGCGGGTTTGTTGAAAGAGAAAAATACTAAAAACTATGTCCTAGTGCCGAGACTGATGAAAAGATGTTTTATTTGGAAAATCTGGCCCCTGGCACTATTAACATTTCTCGTTTGTCTCTCCATAACTTTTTCACTTTTGCACATAAAAAAAAATCAGATGTTATATATAAATCTAAAAAAGCACATACAGGCCACATGGGCAGTATGCTATCTATTCTCTTCTTATCCTATTGAAATCACATGGTCCCGGTCTGCTGACCCACAGCCTAGTAGCACATAGATCACAGCTAATTTGTTCCAGTGAAGCTACAATTACAACATTGAACCCTTAAAAGCCTTTTAAACAAGGAGTAACTGCGTTTCATTTCCAGCTGATATTGGCTTACATTCTGTGCTGTTAGAAGGAAAAAGAAAATGCTCTAAAAATAGCAGTGGTGGTGGAATGTGTCCAACAAAAGCCTCATTAGCATGAAAGAAAGGTGGATTGGAGGGGTGTCCTGAAAGGAGTGGGATGCCACTGAGGTTGAGGATAAAAGCAACTAATTGCTCAGCTTTGTTTGGAAATGGGGTTAGAGCCTAATGCGCTGTGACACGTAGAAAACTGTCTTTATTAAATACATAAGAAGTTAAATTGTTACAAGTATTCATTTGAGGCTAAAAGTTTTTATAATGATTTTTAAATTTCTTTGGTTTTGCAGCATCGGTTAGGTAAATCTGAAGCCACTGCGAGGCTGGCTGTTTAAGACATCCCTGCTTGTAAATGCACTCTTTGTTCTCCAGAGTCTGAAAATCCAGTTATGCGTCACGAGTCCAACATGTCATTGATTATCCCCAAGAGTCAGAGGAGTCATAAGACATGTTTTAGAGCTGCTGTTTTTTTTTCCACCAAAGACAGACAAGCAGAAATAAATGAAATAATAAAAACCAAAAATGAACAAATCTAATTTAACATTTCTTTTTGTACCATCTGTAAAGTTGTATTTATCACCTTGAAAACTGCATTTATATAAAAATGTAAGAGAACGAGGAGCCTATATGAAATAAACTATTTTAGTTTTTTGGGTAAAGAAGAGCAAAAAAATATCTTTCTATCAGGCCACATTGCTGTTTCTCATATCAAATTTCATTAGAGGATTTTTAGATCTGCTGTAATAAACTGCTATTTAACCTTATTCATAAGATACTAAATGAAATGTAGTTTTTAATGACTCCCTATTGCATTCCAGAAACAATCCTGAAACACACAACATGCATTAGCCTTAGTCATATTAAAGTCATATACATTTAAACTGCTTCTGTTTTAGTCCAGTAAACTACAGTTAGTAGATATTTGATAATATTTAATAAATATAGCTAGATAGATCTACTGACACAACCGCTAAATATTAAAAAAGCTTTTAAGTACATATATCTTTTATTGTAGAAGAATGATCTCTCCCTGAAAATTTTGCTGTTGCCTAAAACTGTAAATTAAAAAAAAGATTTTTTTTTTTTTTTTTTTACCTCCTTTCCTATCCTCACAGTCCTCTCCTTTTCCCACCTTATGTACCCGAAAACATCAATTCAGTTCAGTCTATTAATGTAGCACTGGGTCACAATGCCTGTCATCTTAAGGCACTTTCCAAGCTGTTTAGTTTATAAGATTATTTAATGGGGACGGTGTACAAAATACACTCTTGTAATAGAGTTAGCTATTGCTAGCTTCCATTTGTAGTCCCTGGGAAAATAGATCTGCATAACTTCAATTGCATGTTCTCTTTTTATTTTCTAATTTTGAGAAAAGGTCAAGATAAAGTGTAT